GATTAAGAGCAGGGAGTGAGGTATGGTTATAAAACTGGATATGGAAAAAACCTATGATAGACTTAAGTGGAGTATTCTTGTAGAGGTGATGAAGATAATGGAGTTTGGTTCAAATTAGAGGAATTGGATTTTTGGGTGCCTTTCCTCGACTCACTTTTCAGTTTTGATTAATGGCTACTCTAAAGGTTTTTTTAAAGCCTCTAGAGGACTTAGGCAAGGGGATCCATTATCACATTTTTCGTTTACTATATATGCTGAATATTTTAGCTTTATGATGTGCAATGTGGTGAATTAGGGGAATTTCTATGGTTTTAAGATTGCTAAAGAAGGACCACTCATTATACATTTATAATATGCAGACGATATGCTCATTTTCAGTGAGGCAAATGAGGAGCAGATTAAGAATATTGGTCCTTTCTTGAACCATTTTGAAGTGGCATTAGGTTTGAAGGTAAATATTGCAAATACCTCTTTGATAGGAGTTAATTGTGATGAGCAGTTGGTGAAGGACTTAATTGAAATTCTAGGATGTAAAGTAGATGGCCTCCCTAACACCTATTTGGATCTACTTATATCGGATACTTATTTGACCATCTCAGTATGGGATAAGGTTATCTAATGTGTTCAGTTTAAATTAGATTTATGAAAGCCAAAGTACCTGTCTTTGGGTGGCAAAGTTACTATGTTAAGATCATGTATGGCTAATCTTCCAGTTTATCAAATATCCCTTATGAAAATGCCAAGTGCAGTTGTAAAGAGAATTGAAAAGATGATGCAAGATTTTCTATGGGGCTCTTTTGGTGAGAAGAAAAAATACCATCTTTTGAAATGGGATAGAGTGTGTAGTCCCAACAAATAAGGAGGACTGGGTATCAAGAAACTTTCTCTAATGAATGAGGCTTTATTATGTAAATGGTGGTAGCATAATCTACAATTCAAATATCAGTTTTGGTGTAAAATTCTTCAAGCTAAATATAGCATAGATAGATTTGGAATGTGGATTAGTGGTGGGAGTAACATTTGGTGGTGTGTGGGGAATGATACTCTAGTTTCTTTTGGCACCATAAGTGGGTGGGGGACTGCCCACTTAAGTTCACCTACCGAGATCTCTTTCTTAAGGTTTCTAATCTACATGCAACAGTAGCAGAGACTTATGAATTCATTGGGGAGCCAGTTTTAATGTGCAACTCCCTTATATCAGAATTCAGGATAATGTGTTGTCACAGTTGACTTATTTGTTAGTTCAGTTAGAAGAAGTGTTGCTCGTGGAATAGAAGATGATTTGGTCTTGGATGTTGAACATGATGGTATGTTTTGGGTGAAGTCAATGTATGTAGTGTTGTTTCATGACCGGTGGTGCTGGTCACTACCATAGTTTGCTCAAGTGTGGAAATGGCCAATACCTCAAAAGGTTCAATATTTTATTTGGTCAGCAGGGTCAAACAATATTTTGACGATTGATAATCTAACCAAAGGGGGCAAAATTCTTTCAAATATTTGCTTGATGTGTAAGAATGATGGAGAGTCGGTAGCATATCTTTTTGTTCGCTGTAGTTTTGTGTCAATAATTTGGGAGTTCTTCTTGAATCTCTTAGGCTTGAGGGAAACACTTCCTCAAGAAATGTAGGGTATACTTAGCTAGGTTTTCCTTTGTTACCAAAATTGGGGAATATTATTTGGAAGATCATTAGGGGTGTTGTTATTTCGGAAAGTTGGAAGGACACAATAGTAGAACATTTGAGGGTGAGGTCCTGTCTTTTGATAGAGTTTTAAATAACACTATTCATACCTATTGGAGTTGGCTTTCAAGACACAATACTAAAGAGGGGTGTGGCATCTCCAAGGTTGATGTGAGATTGAGTTTGCTAACTTAGCACTCTCCCTTTTTGTAAAGAGTAGGCCAGTTGGTCGTTGGTTACCACCATTTCATGGATGTTCCAAATTAAATTTTGAAACATGTAACTTTATTGTGAAGTGGATATTGGTGGTGTTGTGAGAGACTGGAATGGGGTGGTTTTGTGTGATTATGCAGATCCAATTGGTTTAGCAACAACTAACTTTGTTGAATTCACGGCTTTACTTCATGGTCTTTTAGATCAAAAAGTCTGGGGACTATCTGTATGGTGGAAAGAAATTCGTTGAATGTGATCAAATGGTGTAAGAAGAAGCAATGTGTCCGTTGGGAGGTTCGCTCGATATAGTGCCAGGCCATGGATATGGTTGATTGTCTGACTACATTTTTTCACCATCTCTATAGGGAGGCCAATTCTCTTGCTAAAAAAAGAGTTACCCATGCTTCTATTTTAATTTCAGATGATATAAATCTTTTGTAATCCCTCATTGAGAATTAAAATTTTGATAACATTTATCATAAAAAAAAAAAAATTGGCCCAATCAGGCCTAACTTGGTTCGACTATTGGGCCACATTTTTCTAACCCTAGTTTTTTAGGACCGAGCTGGGCCACTCGGCCCATTCCCACCCTTATTTCACCATATTCATTAACATATGTTGTAATAATTTTGCCTCACCTTTATTTCTGTGAAGGTTGATGTCAAAGACAAGGTCATGAAAAATAATGGTTATAACGGGAACAAAGGATGTTATAACGCTAATACCGCCCGCCCATGATGTTACTTAAAGGAGGACTAGAGCCAAAGAAATATGGCCTATACAATATTGACGACAGTTATAACATTGGTCAATGTATTTCAAATATGAAAGGGCAACTTATCAAAATAATTATGGGAGATGAAGTATGTTACCCATTTGTAAGTATTCCAACTCACAATAAAGCGTTAAATTGTTCATCTCTTATGAGTAATTTGATAAGCTTCCTTATTGTAACAATTATTAATAGATGATTATATACCATAAAGTCTTGGCTAGTCATGGTAGTCAACAGTGAAATAAAATCACTAAGAGTCTGTTACAAAGTTTGAAAAAAACACTTTGTTTCTAAATTCAAACTATATAATTTAAGGTAGAGAAATTTATCAAACTTAACTTTTCAACAATTTAATAGGTTAGCCTTTTCAACCATTCCAACACATGATCATATATATTTTGATGGGTATTTTAAAATTAACTCAAAAGATATAGATAAAATACTAAATAGTAAATCTCTTATATGTATTTTGAGAAATTTGTCTTTAAAATATTTCCCATTCTTTTATGCTCTTCTCTATTATTCGGTATTTTGTAATTTTATTTTTACCCTTTGGTTAAGTGAGGTTTTCCTTTTATAGTCCATCCCTTTCATTGTACGTTTCTTGAGCACTAAATGACAATTTGGATTTCAAAGATAAGGGGGCCATGGCTGTTGAAAAATTTATAGGAAGACAGGTGTATTCAGACAAAAAACTTCGCTAATATTTAGTTTAACGAACAAAACATTTAAACAAGAAAACCGTATATGTAAGGTTTCATCTTTATTTGTAAAAATAAGGTTGCAGTAATCTGCACTGTTTATTTATTTAAACAATGTAGACTGCACACTAACTTAAAAAGCATACTATGTATTGACATCGTCTTAAAAGCTATGTCAAATCTACACCGTCCTAGTAAAATGGACAGTATAGATCATCACAACCTTATTTTTACAAATATAGTTTCACTTTTTAAATAATTATGATTAAATAATATGAGACAATTTATTTTCAATACAAGAAGATCACAATCATATTTAACAATTGATTTGAAATCTAATAGATTGAAGTGTGTCACAACTCACAATATTTAATTAAATTTTATTTTGGATCTAGTGTCCAATCAATGATACATCTCCAACTATTCGATTTCACATCCTCAACCACCTAATTTCACATAAAACGATTAATAATGGTTGTGACGTATCAAAAATATATAATATCATTATATACATTTTGTATTCCAACAAAAACTTTTTTGCATTCCAAAAAAAAAAAAAGTTTAACTTCTAGTTTTGCATTCCACCAAAAAGTTTATCTTCTTCTACTTTTGCATTCCAACAAAAAGTTAATTTTATACTTCAGTTTAATTAACATACAAAAGGTTGCATAGCACTTTGAAGAAAAAGATTTACAGTACTAGGTTTAATGAGTGAATAAAGGAGGAAAACAAGAAAGTGGGTCGTTGTTGAGTCGGGAAACGAGCGAAGCGCGTGTCCCACCGTTGACGTCCACTCCTCGTGTTTGGACTTTAGGCCCCCAACAGGTCGGTGGTCTCCCCCACTCAAAACCCCTCGCTCTCGCTCTCTCTCTCTCTCTCTCTCTCTAGTCAGCATCTCTCTCTCTCTACTC